AAAGGAAGCAGGTGCAGAACATTGCAACAGTAACTAAAGTGTCAACTAAGTAACATAGAGCCCATTTCAAGGATCATGAATTAAATAGGAGGGAGTACTATTCTGGATAAAATGTAATGATTTTTTAAAAGTTTTTTTTAATTTAAATTCAATACAGATCTATTTGTAATTAAATTGACACTATTTTAAGACCTGACGTTATAATCTAATAAAATAAATTAAATGCAAATAAAATGGTCCATATTGGCTGCCAAGTTTTAAAGAAAGTGAAAACATTGAATTTATGGAAGTCACTGGCTAAACACCTAGAAGCAGAGCATAGTAATGTGCAGAACCAGCTTTTGATGGAAATAGTCTGTTCTGTGGGTTCAGAGACTACTTTCTTCATTTGTTCAGCTATTGAAGTTCAATAAGTAGTTCATTCAAAATTAACAAGCCACTTTTTTTTAAAAAACAAAAAACAGAAAAGTTTCTTCCAATCTATGAACTAAATCTAGGTGCGAGAGGATGAGATCCATTATTTCTAAAAACTCAAAGGAGATGGCAACCGTGAACAATCTGTTCCATTCCCTTAGGGATAATACTTCCTTTTTCTAATAAATCAATGTAAAAAATCCTTTTAATGTAAAAAAAACCCTTTTTGCCAATCATTTAAATCTTTCCAGCACCTCTAAGGTCATTTATATAGTTAAAAAATCATTAAAATGTTGATTTTATGCATTTTTAGCTGGACACAAATTATGAATAAAAAAATAATCCACTAAATAAGAAATGCATCATTCACCATTTTCTGAAATAAAAAAATGCAAAGAGTAAATCTAAAGAAATATATGTCAGATGATATAAGTCACTTATATAAATATGTATAGCTATAGTGTTTTCTCCTGATTAGCAAAAAGAAGGCTGTATTTAGTTGTAAATGAACATGTTTTAATGGTTAACAGTGAAAGAGAATCAACATTTCTTTAGGAAAATAACCGAAAGTACAAATGCAAAGCTTGATTAAAACTGATTATTTAAATTAAGGTTTCCTGATTGCTGATTTAAATCATATTTAAAATTGTTGATTTAAACCACTTCTGTTAGGAATATGTCAGAGGAAACTGAATTGAGGCTAGGTAGAACCAGTTGGAAACAGACTGGTGGCAGCTTCACCCAGTGCATAGCTGGAAGGGAAGTCTAGAACATCTACACAGCAGGGCTAAAGCCGAAATAATCTACTCAACTTGAGCTACGTCAATTTGTAGTTTAAGTTGAAATAGCTTATTTAGGTTTTTAACGCTGTCTACACAGCAGGAAGTCCAAGGGAGAGCCTCGTCCCTTACTCCTCGTACAATGAGGGTTACCGGAGTCAGAGTAAGAAGTCCTCCAGCTCGACGTTATTTCAACATTATGTCGAAATACTGCTTGTAGTGTGGACCCGGACTATATTATTTCGGAATAAAGTCAGTTATTCCAAAATAACGCTGCTATGTAGACATAACCTAGATGTCTAGTCCCCATAGAACTGGACGGCACCACATCAAGTCCAGACCTTTGCCCTCATGGCAGGACCAAGTACCGTATAGACCATCTCTGACCAGAGCTAGATTAACTCTTCTAAGGCTCCTAAGCTCAGGGTGGAGCCAAAAATAAGAGGCTCTGTTTGTGGGAAGGGGCGGCCAGCGAATGGGTTGGTTAAGTAGGGTCAGGTGCAAGAGTGGGCTGGGTACAGGGTCTGGGTGGGAGGACGGGTAAGGAAGGAGGTAGGTATAGCTCCTGGGTAGGCAATGTAGCTCTGTGTGATCTTGCACTTGCAGTCACTACCCCCAGTGTTTCTATTGACCATTATTCCCGTGATTTCCACCCACATAACAGAGTGCATGCTGAAAACAGCTTTGCATGTTGTCTTTGTTTCTGTGCATTAAAGTTCTTCCTACTTTTTAACCTCCCCAACATTCAGGAGGGAAAAAACAAACAGCCTCAGTCAAGGTGCCCTGCCTACGCTGCTCAGCATAACTGAGTCCTCCCACAGGTTCATTTAGTTTGTCCCCACTGGAAAGATGACTTTTTTTTCTAATCAAAGTATTGTACTCCTTCCAAAGACATTAGGCCTCATGATAGAGAGCACGCTGAAACAATGAAACGACAAGGGCAAGACTGCTCAGTGCCAGGTAGTGAGAGTTTCTAAAGAAAGAGATTGAAATCTAACACGGGGTAGGACTTTCCAAGGATTCTCTCTTGTTCTCCCCTCCCCAACCCCATTTCAAATAGGGCCATTGATGCAGGACCGAGGACATGAATACATTTACTTTTCGGGGGGGGGGGGAGGGGGGGTCGTGTTTTTGCCTCTTGTCCTGTTTTCTATGTTTTGGAAATCTCATCTGACTTGCATGTCAAATCCTCTTCCCCACAAAATCTTCGGCTGTCAACTTTCCCCTTCTCCCCCACTACAAAGTCTGCCCCCCCACACACACATCAGCATCAACATCCTGCCACTCCTCTTCCTCTACTGTCGGTCAGCAGTGCTGGAGAACATTCCACCCCCATGCTTCCTCCAGCCCGCAGGCCTTCACTCCACATTCAGTGCTGCCATATTCTGTGCCCATTCCCTCCACCACATCTCCAAAATCCAGTCCTCTTCTTTACCACCTTTGACTGCCTGCTCTGTTTCCCTGTCAGTGCATGATCCTCTTGACTTCTTGGAAGAAGAGATTTGCAAAAGGAATACCCTGATCTCTGTTATCTCCCTTCCTCCCTCTTTCATAGAATCATAGCATCATAGAATAATAGGACTGGAAGGGACCTCGAGAGGTCATCGAGTCCAGCCCCCCGCCCTCAAGGCAGGATCAAGCTCCGTCTACACCATCCCTGACAGATGTCTATCTAACCTGTTCTTAAATATCTCCAGAGAGGGAGATTCCACCACCTCCCTTGGCAATTTATTCCAATATTTGACCACCCTGACAGTTAGGAATTTTTTCCTAATGTCCAATCTAAACCTCCCCTGCTGCACTTTAAGCCCATTACTCCTTGTCCTGTCCTCAAACTCCCGCCCCTCTTCCTCATCACTGATGATGAGATTTCATTGCTCTAACCCAACCCCCAGGCTGTCTCCTCAGTCCTCCAGCTGTTTCCAGCAATTAAGTGCATTTTCTGGAAGCTGTGCTGCCTAGAGGACAATGCACTTAGTGCAGGAAGGTGGGGTTCTATTCCCAACTCTGCTATTTGTCCATGTGATGATCGTGGGCCAGTCACTTCCCCTCTTTGGGCTTTAGTTTCCCCTATCTGTAAAATGTGGATAATGCTAGTGGTCTCCCTTGTAAAGTGTTTTGAGGTCTACTGATGGATAGCGCTCACAGGCAAAAGATGAAGGAGGGTTGGGGGGGGGGACTGACCAATTGACTGACCCCAAGGCCTGGGGAAGGGCCAGGACAAACTCAGGCCCCACCTCTCCCTGCATTTTCCCTGGCTCGTTCCACCCTTGCCCTGCCTCTTTCCCCTCCTCCGAGCCATGACGCATGGGGAACTAGCAGGTGTGAGGGTTGGTGCTGGCAGCAGGGGTCCGCCCCCCTGCACTCTCTGGCAGTGTTAGGGCAAACAAAGCAATGACCCCAGCTCGCTTTGCTCCCCTGGCTGCATCACTCCACTTCCCATGGTCAAGTGTGGGGTGGCTCTGCCTCTCTCTCAAGTGATGTGGCCATCGGAGCACCTGGAGCCCTTGCTCCACTTTACCCATCAGGCCAGTGAATGGGGGGCAGACCTCTCCTGCAGGTACCAGCCTTCCCTCCCCCCAGTCCTTCCACCAGCTGGTGGCCAGCCCCTTGTCCCTCCTGCCCACAGTGTTTTTTTTGGGGGGGGAACCGCATAAGATGTGGCTATAGCCCTCTCCCCACCTCATGAGATGAGAGCTGCCATTGTGCGAGGTGCTACACAAATGCACAACAAGAGCTTACCACTTCAAGAGAAAAGGCAGACAAAATATGGGACGGAAAACAATGGCACAGACAGGGCCGCAATAGAGCTTTCACCAATTTGGCAAAGCTTAACACCTTCACAGAGAAGTTCCACTAGAACCGGTTGAACATGGTTTCCTGCCATTTCACCCAGCAGGCTGCCTGGATGCTGGAAATCAAGAGCAACCTGCCAAGTACAATGGCCCAGAGCCCTGGGACTCCCAGAGTAATCTGAATCAACTAAATTTTGAAATTCTTTGTTAAATGGAATTCCCTTTCCCCATCGCTTAGGGAAGAAACTTTCCAAGATCACACATGAGGCCTGGGAATAAAACTCAAGTCTCCTCATGCCTAATCTAGACTCCATCCATTAGACCACTCTGCTTCCCCCAAATCCCTAAGGTTCTTGTAACTTGACGCATTGTCTCCTCAGTTGCTACCCTTTTGATGATCAAACAATAAAGAACGATCAGCTTCAGTTCATGGAATTTTTCAGATAACCCGAGATAGCTCAAATCATCCGTATTCTCTGTGATGTGTTGTAGTGGCCAGATTCTCTTTTACGAAATAGAGAGAAAAACGGACTGTTTCTGTATAGCAAAGAATGGAAGTAATGAAGGTTAAAGCAAATTATTAATCTTATGCTCAGCCAATCAAATTTTACAAGCCACATCATGACTGTGTCTGGATTGCCTATTACTCTGCATTTGTAGGAGTTATAATATAAAATGCCAATGGTGTGGAAAGAAAATATATTATAGAGAGACATGCCTTTCATTTCCTTGCACTGTGGCTATGCCTATCTGCTCATAACCAGGGTGTTGTTTAATATATTACCTGGGTACATCAAGGGTATCTGTAGAGGCCTCCTGACTTTGGCAGTAAACTTATCTACTACTCAGTTCTGTCCCATCTTGCTGGGAACAGGACAATTATTAAGAGTCATTAAATAGGAATAAAGGGCAATATATTCCTTTTAACCTGAAATGACCAGTGTATGTACATACACAAACTGCTAAATGCAAAGACTGATGTTGTCATATGACTGTCCTCTCTCTTTTTCAGGCTTCAAGGAGGACCATCTTATGTCCCTGAGGATGTGCTTTGTTCTCATACTACATGTGTTCCATATATGTGACAAGGAAATACTATGTCTCTCATTGAGTAGCAGTGCCATGTTACATTTAAACTTCCTCTTCCTTTGTGAGTACAGAATTCTAATGAACAAGTTCCAGTATTCCTAATAAGGACAAAGTGTTATGATTAAAGTAATTTTTTACAGGGCCATTGCTCCCAGTAATAATAATATTTCACCCTTACGTGATTGAAAAACAACTGTGAAATCAACTAAGTCCTTTTTGCAGATGGAAAAATTAAGATGCAGAGTAGTTAGGAAAATAGCAACAGAACATACCAAAAGGAGTGACAGAAATTAAAAAGGAATGCAAGAGCTCCAGGTCTGTGTTGCATACATTTGACAATGCTAAATGAAAACAAAGACCATAGTCAAAGCCATTGAGGACCAGAACAGGGCTCTGGCTATGTCTTTCCTACTGATTCAGCTCTGGGATTCAGACACAGGATGGATCAGCTGAGAAGAGAAATTATAGGCACTACACTAAGGCTATGTCCACATTAGGAAGTTATTTCGAAATAATAACTCCCAAAATAACTATTTCAAAATAAACTACTCCTCTTCACAATCAGGAATTAGTATTTCAAAATAACAAGCCTTGGCCTTCAGCTATGCAATTAATATAACTGGAGTTTCGTATCTTAATTTGACGTTGTCACATAGTGTAGACATACCCTAAATCAACAACCAACATGCGACTAAAGTGAATGAGATCCACAGGAGACTAGATCTCATTTCCAGTTGTGGCCAACCTTATGGCTTGAGGAGAAGGAGATATAAAACTTCCCCGAATTCTCTGGAGCAGTCCTTCCTCACTCCTTCTGATAGCTGTCTGAAACCATGAAGCATGAGTTTTCAGAGCATAGATTAGTTTCACACATACAAAATGGGAAGTGACTGTCTAGGAAGGAATACTGCAGAAAGTGGACCACAAGCTAAATATGAGTCAACAGCATGACGCTGTTGCAAAAAAAAAAAAAAGCAGCAAATATCATTCTGGGATGTTATTAACAGTTGTGTTGGAAGCAAGACATGAGAAGTAATTATTCTGCTCTAGACTACACTGATTAGGCCTCAACTGGAGTATCATGTCCAGGTTTGGGCACCATATTTCAGGAAAGGTGTAGACACATTGCAGAAGGCCCAGAGTAAGGATATTAAGGACTAGTTGACTAGTTGATTATCCGATAAGCAAAAGCTTATTGGACAGTTGAGTCAATTAGTTGTCCCCCCCACCCCTTGCTACCCCTATCAGATAGAGGTAACAAAAGGGGGGGAGAAGGAGTACTTCAAAGCGGCAGTGCCGCACAGCTGAGCCAGGGATCAGCTATGTGGCTGCTGCTCTGAAACCCCAAGGCAGTGTTTCAAAGGGGCAGCCACCACGCAGCTGATCTGCAGCTCAGCTATGTGGCGCTGCCCCTTTAAAACGCTGTGGAACCCCAGATTCCATGAGGCATTTCCCCAGTTTCAAAGGCGCAACGCTGCACAGCAGAGCCCGGTATCAAAGAAGCAATGCAGTGGACTCTTGTACATTTCCAAGCTGGCATCCACGTGCAGCCCAGAGTCAGCGGGACTTCTGCATTCCTCCTTTGAAACGTACAAGAGCCCCAGCGGACGTGCCTGTTGGGTAGTCGATGGAAATTCCATCAACAACTTGACTAATCAATTAACCGCAATTTAACATCCTTAGTCCAGAGAAGAGCAACACAAATAATTAAGTATGAGAGGGGTAGCCGTGTTAGTCTGGATCTGCAAAAGCGACAAGGAATCCTGTAGCACCTTATAGACTAAGAGATGTATTGGAGCATAAGCTTTCATGGGCAAAAACCCATTTTTTCAGATGCAACTGACAAAGTGGGTCTTTGTCCATGAAAGCTTCTGCTCCAATACATCTGTAAGTCTATAAGGTGCTACAGGACTCCTTGTCACACAAATAATAAAAAGACTTGAAAACATGACCTGTGAGGGAAGATTGAAAGAACTGGGTTTGTTTAGTCTGGAAAAGAGATGACTGAGAGTGGAAATGATAACAGCTTTCAAGTACCAAAAGGGTTATTACAAGGAGAAGGAAGAAAAATTGTTCCTTTTTAACATCTGCTGATAGGACAAGAAGTAGTGGTCTTAAATTGCAGCATTTTGAATTTGCTATCCTTCAAAGTACTTGTAACCACTGCCAGCTTGGTGTCACCCATACACTTTCTAAGTGTGCCCTCTGTGCCATTGTGTAAATTATTGATGAAAATGTGACGGAGTGAGGTCACAGAAGACCCCTTGGGGGTGCTTCTCAGAGTGCTGACAAAGCCACTGGTGCTCACCTTCTTGCCCTCTGGGGCTTCTCACTATCCTGTCCTGCTGGGCCAGCTCAGCTGGTCTCCTCCAGCCAAGGCACAGAGCCGAGATCACAGCCCCTCCTCCTTCCCGCAAGGACCAGTACAGACATTAAAATTCTTCAGGTCCGAGGAAAACATAGTGGATTTCACTCCCCAGATGGGATCAGAACCCTAAATGAATTATTTAAGTAAACCCTCTTTAGCGATTAAAGAAGGATGTACACACTGATTGCTCTCCAGATAACAGTTATTTACAGTGGACTTGATAGTAAGTAAAAGTGATTTTATTAAGTACAAGCAGTAGGATTTAAGTGGTTGTGAGAACAGGTAGAGCAAAATAGATTACGAATTTAAAATAACAGACAAGGCTTAGCTAATTCTAACACTAAAATCTTATTTCAAACTCACCCTAAAACTGTTCTTATTCCAGCTAAGCCTCCAAAACTAGGGAAATCTCCTATTCCCTGGGGTCCTTAGTTATCCTCCTGGGTGTGCCACACCAGCCAAAGACAAAGAAACTGCTAGCTACCCATTGTTTCATAGATTCCCTCTTTGAGCGGGAATTCTTTTTCTACATTCCACCCTTATATGGGAAGGTACCTGGCCAGCCCTACCAGTTAGGGAGGTCACATGCCTTCCTAGGATCAACCACAGCCAAGATTTAAAGGACAAAAGGGGCTGTTTACAGGTGACCAGACCTTGAGGGAAACACCTTGATGGCTTGCATTTGCACTTTTAACCTATAAACCATTCCATACTCCATATATCTAATTTTACATGCAAGAATGATACATAGACCAAAATAAATTATGCAGATCCTGTGGATTATGACATTAAGATTGATAGGTTACATGAGATATTTTGTCCAAAGCATCTTTGAGTTATTCATATTTGTGTCTATAAGTCCATTTCATAAAGCATGGGAGGGTCTGTCACAGAAAATAATTAACAGAATCAGAACCAGAACTGATCCCCTCGGTACACCACTCATGATGCCTTTTCAGCACGACAGTGAACCCTTGAAGACTGGTCTGTAAGGGTGTGTCTGCACTGTACCGTTATTCCAAGAAAACTAGCGTTATTTCGAAATAACAAAGCTAGTATCTACACAGCAATTCCATTATTTCAAAATAATGTTGAAATAATGGACAGCTTATTCCAAAATCTGTAAACCTCATTCTACAAGGAATAACACCTGTTCCAAAATAGCATGTGTGGATGCTCCACTGCTACTATTTCAAAATAGCCCCTCACCAGGGCCATTCTAAGTTATTCTTCCCCAGTGCCTCCTGGGGCTCTAAATCGAGATAGCACGTCCACATTAGGGAAGCCTGCCTCGGACTAATTTTGAGGTTTCTCTGCAGTGTAGACGTGCTATTTCAAAATAAGCTATTTTGGACTAACCATTTTGGAATAGTTTATTTCAAAATAAGCGTATGGTGTAGACGTACCCTTATTATGTAGATTGTCCTTATTTCTCTTTTTACAGGAGGGCACTATATTTGCCCATTTCCAGTCTTCTGAAATCTCTCCCGTCTTCCATGACTTTTCAGAGATAATATCTAATGGTTCAGATTATTTCCTCAGTTAGCTCCTTGAGTATTTTAGGATGCATTTCATTGAGCCCTGGTGACTTGAAGACACCATTGATGTGCACAGTTTCCAAAAATACCTGTATCACAATGACACAGCATTTTTTTCAGCTTTAACTGCCTATTTGTTCAGTTAAAGACAATTTGCGAGACCTGTAGTAACACCTCTGGTTTACTGCAACAGGTTAATTTGAAACTATTTAATTGTCAGTCTAGACAGCAACATCCAAAGGAATCTGAGGATGTTCACATTGTCTGTTTCTGAGAATATCTTAAACAAGATTTGATAGAGCATCTTCAAAAAGCATCATTAATTGCTAAATGAAACAAACTGAAGTGGAAAAGTCAGCAAAAGGCTAAACTATAGAGCATCTGCTAGTATGGGAAAAATTATATCAGATTATTTGATAGAAAATAAAGTGGATTTCAATGTATTTAATCACCTTGCCCAAATTATTTTTAGTGTATATTATATTTCATTGCTTTAGCTCTCTCTGTTTTGCAGTAGCTTGTATTATGATCATGCTATATTTTGTCTCCCGTGTATACGCTCTATAAACACATTCTACTTCCTAAATGATTTTCTTTATACAAAACAAAAGCTTTTTAAATGGAGAAATGTGAAAATGTATTATATTTATTATGTTTGACAGGTTTTCCCAAATTACTACATTCCTCCTCATTTCCAATGTGTTGTGATTTTATACCAATCAGATATGCCTCCCTTTAAGAAGTGTCCTTATTTCAAACATCAGACTACACACAATATGATTGTAAACTCTGCAGTGTTACACTACACAGTCTGTACAGACTGTAACCTCACCGCTCTATGTTGTATGCTTAGCTGTGCCATCAGAGTTAGGACAGGAAACTAATGCGTGGGCTATCATCTTTGGTTAGATTTGATGCAACTCATTGAAATTCATTTCCTGAGCCTGGACACGGGGCCATGGTAAGTGGTGCCGGTATTTGGATAGCTGTTCCTCTTCCCTACCAACCTACTTCCCTAGCATAATTGTAGTCACCACTATGGTGCTAAAGATGCCGTCTTTCACTCAGGGACTCTCACCACTAGGGGGCACTACAAGGCCCACAGCATAGTTCACAAGAGTGAAGAACCTCAGTATCCTGCCCATGTTTATCCGG